CTTTAGGAGTCATTTTATTGCTAGGTTCCTTTAGTAGAACAGTAGTAATAAGGATTTTACCTCAGGTCCCTTGGCTATCTAGTCTCATATTCTTGGCCTCCCAAGCAGTATCATTTGGCTTCCATCTAACAGAGTGGGGCATAACTCAAATCATATATTGGCTGGCTACTCCCACAACATTTGTGCCACTATTGCACCAGCATATCATGGAGTCAGGTCACCATTGTAGATGAAAGAGTTTTGAATTTGGTTAGTGTTTCCCTTTCTCTTCTGATAGAGTGCAGAGTATTTTACAGCACCCTGAACACTGGTCTGTAGGAGTGAAGTCTTTAGTTAGGCACCAGCTTGGCTTCTGCATGCTAAATGATCTATATTGGTATCTTCAGTAATAGGGCCTTACCATCAGTTTGTGGAGAGCAACGAATTGCTTTGACAAAAGCTGAAATTGGATGTTTCCAGGGAGCTCTTTTGGCCAACAACTCAAGTAAATGTTACACATTCCTGGCACTGGAAATTTCACTTGGTATTCATCTAAGTTGGGACTTTGTCTCCCCATTACTTGGTGATTCTACTTAAATTTCCTTCATATACATAAATATATTTTAAGAAGCTTCTACTATGTTAGGTTTCCATAAGACCACTTATGGAAATAGCTGTTACTTTTAGCTATCCCTCCCAATATGCCCTATCTTATTCCCTTCTTCCTATCTCCTCCCCATTTAATACTCCCATCCCAGTCTCCCCCTGTTTCTCTCCAACTATATATATTCTATTTTCCTTCCTTGGGAAATCCTTCCCACTCCCAATCCCTTACTCTATACCTACCTAACTTCTGTGGTTAAATGGATTGTAGCTTGCTTATTAAAGGCTTAAAAGCTAAATCCATATATAAGAGAGAACATACCATATTTGTAATTTGGAGTCTGGGTTACCTCACTCAGGATGACTTTTTTCTTGTGCCAACTATTTACCTCTGGTCACTCTCTCTCTCTCTCTCTCTCTCTCTCTCTCTCTCTCTCTCTCTCTCTCTCTCAGTGTTTCTGTGTAACAGTCCTGGCTGTCCTGGTACTCTGTAGACCAGGCTGATCTGCTGATCTGGAACTCACAGGGCTCGGCCTATCTCTGCCTCCCAAATTCTAGGGCTGAAGGCATGCACCACCACCAACTGGCCAATGATTTCATTTTTTTAAATAGCTGAGTAATATTTCATTGTGTAAACATACCATATTTTCTTTATCCATTCATCTGTTAATGAACATCTAGGCTGTTTGCAACTTCAGGCTATTATGAATAGAGCAGCAATGAACATGGCTGGGCACATATCTCTGTGGTAGGATGAAGAACCCTTTCAGTATATGCTCAAAAGTGGCAGTGGCATAGCTGGATCTTGAGGTAGATAGATTCCCAGATTCCCATCTCTCCCAGGAACCACCACACTGATTTGTATAGTGGCTATACAAATCTTTTTTTTTTTTTTTGGTGTTTTGAGACAGGGTTTCTCTGTAGATTTGGAGCCTGTCCTGGATCTAGCTCTTGTAGCTCACAGAGATCCACCTGCCTCTGCTTCCCAAGTGCTGGGATTAAAGGCGTGCCCCACTACCGCCTGGCTTGTTCTCAATTTGGGTTATTTTTTTTTCTTTTTCTAGGTTTTTTTTTTTTTTTTGAGACACAGTTTCTCTGTGTAGCTCTGACTGTCCTGGAATTCACTCTGTAGGCCAGGATGGCCTCCAGACCTGCCTGCCTCCAGAGTGCTGGGATTAAAGGTGTGTATCACTCTGCTATCTGTTTCCTTGATGTCCAGTTTTTGTTTTGTGTAATTCTTTATATATTTTGGATATTAGCCATCTATCTAATGTACAGTTGGTAAGCATCTTTTCCTATTATGTAGGCTTTCACTTTTTCCAAATGAATGTGCCCTTTGCTGTGCAGAAACTTCTTAGCGTCATTAGGTCTACATTGTCGATTTTAGTGCCTGTGCTAAAGGTATTCTATTCAGAAACTCTTTTTGTGTGCCATATGATCTAGGCTATCCCCACTTTGTCTTCTATCAGGTTCAGTGTATCTGGTTTTATTTTGAGGTATTTGATCCATTTGGAGTTGAGTTCAGCATGCAAAACATTTATTCAAAGTTTGCTTAAACTTAAACCACTGTAAGCTGAGATATGTATGAAATGTCTGACCCAATGTTCTTTTTAAATCATATTAGTTATAATTTCCTAATGGACCTGGAAGTATTTAGATCTTACTTCACTTACTGCAATCATGACCTCCTGAGCAAGGACTTAAAGCTATTCTTAGAACAGAAATTTCAGTGTCTCCTCTAGCAAAAATAAACAAGCTGGAAATGAAAATATTTCTATCTAATGCACATTTAATTCTATTCCAATATTTAGTAAGTATAGCTCATGGTTCTGTAGGGGAAATAAGACAATGAGACACAATACCATCTTCTAGAAATGTACACAGTCCCATTAGAAGCAGACTCAGTTGTGGTAGCCCACATTTTTTTTTGTTTTGTTTTGTTTTGTGTTGTTTTGTTCTTTTGTTTTGGGGGACAGGGTTTCTCTGTGTAGCCTTGGCTGTCCTGGAACTCACTCTGTAAACAAGACTGGCCTTGAGCTCAAAAATTCGCAGGCCTCTGCCTCCCAAGTGCTGGGATTAAAGGCTTAACCATTGCCCAGCTGCTGCTGCTGATTCTTCTCTTCCTCTTCTTGTAGCCCACACTCTTAATCTCAGTACTGGGAGGCAGAAGCAGGTGGATCTGTATGAGTTTGAGGAGAAACTGGTTTATATAGCAAGTTTTAGGCCAGTTAAGACTACAGAGTGAGAACTCACAAACAACAGTATTACCAGCAACAAAAGCAAGAAAAGAAACAAACTCAGCCCAAATAAACTATGAGTGGCAAGAAATGCAATTAAGTGTGGGGGGAGAAGGCTCATGGCTGTTTTGAAAAGGATCTATTTTATCTAAATTTCTTTTTTGCTTAGGGGGCATTATAGCCATTTGCTGTCTTTTATTGTTTTCTTTTGTGATCCCCTTATTTATAACTTCATTCACTGAAATATAAAGAGTTGTTGTTTGTATGGGGTTTTATTTGTATTTGTTTGTTTTTTGAGACAGGTTCTCACTATGTAGCTTTGACTGTCCTAGAACTCACTATGTAAACAATTGTGGCCTCGAACTCGAAGCCATTGGGAAACAGAGGCAGGAGGATCAAGAGCTCAAGGCTGTCTTTTACTTTATAGCAAGTTTGAGGCCAGCTTGCTAAGTAAAACCCGTCTTTGATCCCAGCACAAGGGAGGCAGAGACAGGTGGAGCTCTGTGAGTTCGAGACCAGTCAGGGCCTGAAAGATAGGAGGCACATATAAGATATAAGCCAGAATCTCTTATAGTGATTTCCTGCTGAGTTCTTTCTTTTTCTTCTCCCATCATCTGTTTAAACAGTTTTAGATCAATAGGAAAGAAATCCATTTGATGTGTGCCCTTCAAGGGAGGTCTCTTCTCTCCCTGGCCAAACACCATCTAGTAGTAATCAACCCTGAAAGGTGGAGGGCGCACCTTTTTACCAAGGGAGTTCATCAGGTGTCATCAGCATTTGGAAAGTTCACATAAAGAAAACATCGAACTGCCTAAAAGAAGCCCTCTAAAGGAGGCCTGAATTTAGCCCTGTCTCACAAAGCCTAACATAACCAATGCATGGGTCAGCCAGACACCTGAACCTTGCCTGATTTCCTCCTCAAAGCCCCACAAAAACAAACAAACAAACAAACAAACAAACAGATCTCTCACAGAAGAACAAAGTTCAAAAATAAACGGGAATATTTTGCTGCTTACTGAATGATTTGTAGTAGTAACTGGGCTTCAGTAGACAGGAAATGTTTTCAATGGAAAGATGCTTTAAAAAGATGATCCCCCACCTCATTTATTTTGGGGCTGCACATTGTAGACAGAAACAAATGACTGCAGTGGCAGAGTTGGTGTTTTGTTCTTGCTCCTGTTTCTTTGCAGTCCCCATCTGAAGCTGTTGGAGAATGGTGACCGTTGCAGGTCATTGGGAGCAGAGGGTCCTCTTAGATAACACTGATGTTTGATGACTAAGTCACCAAACACTAGTGCATTGCCGAGGGGTATGATTTCTTCCTTGCTTCCTGGCATTCTGTTTCTCCCACCTCTGCAGGTGTATGGGTGCTGCAGTTTGGTTAGTCTCCCAATTGTTTTCGTATTAGGAAAATAGAAATGGATTAGATCCCAAGAAAGAGGGTCATTATAAAAAGGGCAAGCCTGTTCCCACCCGAACTCCTGTTAACTGGCTTCACCATGTATAATGATTACTAGTAATTATCAACTGAAAAAGTTCTAGAATCACGTAGGAGACAAGCATCTAAGCATTCCTATGAGAGATTATTTAGATTAGGCTAACTGAGGTGGGAAACCCACCCTGAATGTGGGCAGCACCATCTTAAGGGCTGAGGTCCAGGACTGAATGAAAAAGAAAAGGTTACGCAGGGGGAGGGTGGCACACGCCTTTAATTCCAGCACCTAGGAGGCAGAGGCAGGCAGACCTCTGTGAGTTCTGGGCCAAACTCCTTTACAGAGTGAGTTCAAGGACACCTGGGGATACACAGAGAAACCAAGTCTCAAAAAAAGAGAAGGTTAGCCAAGGACCAACATTTACCTCCCTCTGCTTCTTGACAGCAGATGCAATATGACCAGCCGCCTTAAGCTCCTGCCACACCATGATGGTCCAAACACTTAAATTGAGCCAAAACTAAAAGCTTTGTCTATAAAATTGCTTCTACCAAGTATTTTATCATAGTACAACAAAACATAACAGACCATGTGACAAAACCCCACCTCTGATGCTGTGTACCATGTTCAAATGTATCTACAAGGCCCCCAACAAAGTCAAATGGAGTGGACCACATACCAAATCATGAGCTTTAGTCTCTGAAACCTTTCTTCATTATACTTTACCCAGCACAAAGTATTTGGTGCTAGCAGCAAAGGCAGGACAGGGAGTTGTTAGTGTTCGGGGCAGGGTCTGCTTAGGGATTGACTCACAGGGCCATACCAACTGGAGACATAGGTGGGTAGGAGGTGTGTCTGAAACAGAAAAAGCCACATATTGAGAAGAAGGACCAGTGTGGGAGTTTTCAAGAAATCAGCACCAGTGAGAGAAGGTGACAATAAAACAGTTGTCTGTTACCCTGTGATTGTGGGGCTCACTGGCTGTAGCAGCAAGGCCAAGTGCCAGTTTGACATGGTAGGGAAGGCTTTTTAATACATTTGCTGTGATCTTCAGTGCTCCTTAAGACGTATTAATCTTCCCCAGAACAGAAAGAACAACTTGTACAAACGCCCTTTCAGAACAGATATGTAGAGTGGTTAAACAATGGAACAGGAAGGAAGCACTTTGATGTTCGTACAACCTTGACCTTGGTACTTCAAATAAACTCTGCCAAGCTACGAACCTTTTGGATGTAGCAAAAAATTCGTGTAGAGCTCAGGTTTCTAAGAAGACTTCATGTGAGAGCAAGAACCCTGTTTGTTGTTGCTTAAGGTCTTGATATACTTCCTGGGCTGGCTTTAAACTCCTCAGCTCACACAGCCTTCAGCTTCCCAAGTGCCTGGGTCCATGGGTACAGCTACTGTGTCTAGCTCAACCTGGCTTTGAATTTCAGATCATGAACAGCCATTGGGACCATGCAGAAGTTCCTTCAATGGCTGTTTTCCACATTTGGCCTCTGAAAACTGAGACAGCATTATCCCTGTCCTAGGGGTAAGTTGGTTTCTGTGGTCAGAACTATGGCACACAGCAACGGACTAACAAATTGAAGCTCTGAGGATTCCTCTGCAAGATTTATCTGAAATGAGTGTAGGAATGTGAGCAGACACAATGCTCATAATGGGATTTGCTGTCTCCAGTGCAGAATGCAAAATAAGGCAACTATGAAAAAGCTGGGGTAGGGTGTAGGGCAGAGAGACCTAAGAATTATTAAGGGGCTCAGAGTCTCAAAATAGAAAATGTGGGGTTGGACAATGATTCATCATCAATGTATTAGCTTTCTGTGGCTGTGACAAAATACCGTGTGGGACTAGGGAGATGGCTCAGAGGTTAACAGCACTTGCTCCTGCTCTTGGCAAAGGAACTGGGTTTGATTGGCAGCAGTTACATAGTAGCTCACTATGGTCAGTTCTCGGTGCTCTCTTATGGCCTTTCAGGCCACTGGGTATTCGCATAATTCACATACATACATATACTCGGGCAAATCACTTATGCACATAATTTTTTATCTTAAAAATTACCATAGACAATGGGAGGTGGGGCTGGAGATATGGCGCAGTGGTTAAAAGCACTTACTGCTTTTGCAAGAGGATCTATGTTGCCAACACCCACATGGTAGTTTACAGCCATCTGTAACTATAGTTCCAGGGGATTTGATGTCCTCCTCTGACCTCCATGGGCACATAAGCACCCGTGAAACACACACACATCCATATAGACAAAGTAGTCACACACATGAAATAAAACAAATAAATAATTTTATTTTGATACAGGTCTCAGTATATAGTACTGATTAGACTGGAACTTGCCTTGTGGACCAGGCTGTCCTTGAAGCCCTGGGAAAGACAAGGCCATCCAATACTAGATTAGATGACACGCCTGCTGTTGGTAGCGTGAAAGGGCTGGGGAGGTGGCTCAGTGGGGAAAACACTTGCTGTACAAGCATAAAGACCTGAGGGTGAGTTCCCAATCCAGCTGAAGAGTGGGAGGAGTGAGAATATGAGCAAAGAGGTCAAGACCATAATGGATTCACCCATTGAAACAGTCTGCCTGAGCTAACAGGAGCTCACCAACTCCAACCAGACTGGGAAGAAACCAGCATAGGACCAAACTAGACCCACTGAATGTGGGTGACGCTTGTATGGCTGGAGGGCAACTGGCAGTGGCACCAGGATTTATCCCTACTGCTTGTACTAGCTCTTTGGGAACCTATTCTCTTTGGATGGATACCTTGCTCAGCCTAGATATAGTAGGGAGGGTGTTGGACCTTTCCCAAAGCAATGTGCTTTACCTCTCTGAGGAGTGGATGGGGGTGGGGTGGGGGGAAAGGCAGAAGGACCGGGAGGAGAGGAGGGAGGTGAACTGGGATTGGTATGTAAAATGAAAATAGGTAGTTTGTTTTCTTTCTAAAATATATAAATAAATAAATAAATAAATAAATAAATAAATGACCTGAATTAACATTCCAAGACCTATGGAAAACCAAATGTGGGGGGCACCTCTATAATCATAGCAGTCCTACAGTGAGATGGGGGTGGAGACAAAAGAATCCCATGAGGCTCTTGAGCCAGGAGGCCTGGCACGTGCAATACCAAACAACAAAGGCACTCTGCCTCCAAAAAAGGTAGAAAGAGAGGACAACACTCAGGGTGGTCCTCTGGCTTATATACGTGCATCATTGCAGGCTCACACCTACACTCCAAATATGAACATTCCAGACAATAAGTTGCTGCAGCATCCTATACACGTTAGGGTACAGAGAAGATCTGATGGCAGTCAGGTTGTGGTTGAGGTAAGTAAAGAATTTATAACAAAGCTGGGCAGTGGTGGCACATAACTCTAATGCCAGCACTCAAGGAGACAGGAGCGGATCTCTGACTTCCAGGCCAGCCTGGTCTACAGAGTGAGTTCCAGGATAGCCAGGGCTACACAGAGAAACCCTGTCTTGAAAAACAAAAAGAAAAAGACCACAAACCAAAACAAAAAACTTAAAATGAGCTACCAAATTATTAGACCAGATGGTGGTGGTGCATGCTTTTAATCCCTGCACTCAGGAGACAGAGGCAGGCACATGCAATACCAAACATGAGTTTGAAGCCAGCCTGGTCTACAGAGTGAGTTCCAGGATAGGCTCTAAAGCTACACAGAGAAACCCTATCTTGAAAAACAAACAAACAAACAAAAAATACAAAAAAAAAAAAAAAAAAGAAAAGAAACTAATACCTAGGAAGAGGGCGCAGGGAACAGTGATGTTTTGTAAAACTATCTGAAAATGCTGTCAAACTAAGGATATTTGTTCCTTGACATCCGGATTCATGTGCTAGCTATTTTTTTTTGAGACAAGGTTTTTCTGTGTATCTCTGATTGTCCTGGATCTCGCTCTGTAGACCAGGCTGACCTCAAACCCACAGAGATCCGCCTGTCTCTCCCTCCCAAGTGCTGGGATTAAAGGCGTGCACCACTACCAACAGCCACCAATGGAAAGTTTGAATGAAGCAAAGATGGTAAGGAACAAATTGTCTGGCCTGACTGTGTTGAATCCAGTTTTTCCTCACATTTTTAGTGCAATGAGATAGCAGCAGCCTGTTGCTTTCAGAATGTCTTTTCTGAGCCTTAAGCATTCTGAGGCTGTCCACCCTCCATTCTCTCCATCCTTCCACGGGAATGAGACATTCTATTCTGCCTATCTAGAATACTCTCCCTGATTCCTCTTTGGCTTGTGGCATCACATTAGAGCTCACTTTGAATATTACTCCACTAGTAGCCTTTTGTGATTTTGATGTTAGCCTGAGACCTCCAGTAGAGGCACCGAGCTTCTATAGAAGGGGCCTGATTCCAAGTATTAAAGAAACATATTTGTGATTGTTTAAATGAAAATAGGCCCCATAGGCTCATATATTTTAAGGCAGTTAGTGAAACTATTTGGGAAGTACTAGGAAGCATATACTTGCTGGAGGAGGTGTGTCACCAGGAGTGAACTTTGAAGTATCAGAATCCCCCACCAAGCAGGATTTTAATCTCTCTCTCTCTCTCTCTCTCTCTCTCTCTCTCTCTCTCTCTCTCTCTCCTTCACTCCCTCCCCCCCCCCCCCCCCCCCCCCCCCCCCCCCCCCCCCCCCCCCCCCCGCCCCCCCCCCCCCCCCCGCCTGTTGCCTGCGGATCAGAATGTAAGCTGTTTGTTCCTGCACCATGCCTGCTTACTACATTCTCCCCACCATTATCGTGAACTAAGCCTCTGAAACTGTAAGCCAGCTCCAGCTTCAGTGAGAGACCCTGTCTAAAAAGGAATAATAGGTCAGAGAGTGGTACAGTAGGAATTCAGCATTCTCCTCTGGCTTTCATGTAGAAACATAGGCTTACATAATCCTACACACATATCAGACACACATGCATGCACCACATGAGTAAACACACTCACGCAAACAAAGTTGAAGCTTGATTTCTACCAACACAGCCAAGAAAAGATGTTTGTTCTCTCTGTCTGGGATCAGCTACAGGGAGACTCTCACAAGGTGACAGATAAATATCAAATGCTAATGTTATTGCCCCAACCCACCCTTTCATATTTCATTTCCTCTTCATTACATCTCTTAGGGGAGGGTGTTACATACACAGTGGTAAATATGTACTGATTCCTAGTTATTAAGGGTATATAAGCTTACAGATATATGTAATGGTGGGTTCCTGCCTTTAAGGAATCTTTGGTTGTCCCCCTGCCACTGAGGATTGCCTTTCCTGTTTCTGAGATAAAATACTTGACAGAAGTAACAGTTTATTTTGACTTACAGTTAGAAGGTATTATTCATCATGGTAGGGAAGTCATGGTAGCAGTTGCTTGAGGCAGCCCACCACATTGTATCTGCGGAGAGAGACGGATGCTCGTATTTAGCTTGCTTTTCTTCTCTTTATTCAGTCCAAGACCTGTGGAATATTAAGGGTGAGTCTTCCCACTTCAATTAACCTAACATAGACACTCTCTCACAAACATGCCCAGAGGTGTGTTTCCATGGTGATTCTCGATTCCATCAAGCTATCAAGATCACAGCCTTGTAAGGACTAGCTTCCTGAGGGGCCCTGGCACAGCACATAAGCTACCAGTTTCACCGTGTCCCTTGCAGATTACATAAGCCCTTAAAGTCAAAGCTGGATGCAGGAAAGGGGACCTCATTGCCACTGCTTGGGAATGCATGTCACGGCATCTCCTTGTCTCTCAAAAGACCCTTTCCTCACAGTATTGGGACTTGGCAGGGAGACAAATTGGAGTGCTGGAGTGCTGCTATCTTTGCTGAATGTTCTCTGTGTACTGTTTTCCCGCAGTCAGTTTGACGCATTTGCCTTGTGCAGATCGCAGGATTTTTTCCCTTGGCCCTGCATGAAACAAACTTCCTTTGTTTCTATCTCTGTGCTCTTCCAGGGGAGTTCATCACCACACATCTCCATGTATACCCTCAGCTTCTCTCTGCGTGTCATGGTGGCTGGTGCCTGTACACTGCATTGCCTGGTGCCTCTGGGGAGTTTTTGCTCTCACAGCAGACACCGAGTCCTTGCTCCTAATGCTGATGCATCAGCTCACATTGAGGAGTCTTGCCAGACTAGACTTGGCTCAGCTGCATATATTCTTCCCAGACCTAGTGCCATATCTTAACTGGCGCCTGTTCTTCTGAAGGCCAAGTACATGCCAACCTAGATGCACCAATGCATTTAAAGCTTCTCCTTGAGCCTGGGGATGTAGTTCTGTTGGTAGAGCCCTTGTCTGGCATGCTCAAAGCCCAGGTTCCATTCCCAGCATCACATAAACCAAGCACGAGACAGTGGTCTTGATGGCTTATCCTTGGTTGTCAACTTGACACACATGGGAAGAGGGAACCTCAACAGAGGACTCGCTTCCATTAGATTGATCATGGGCATGCCTGTGGGGGCATTTTCTTGATTTCTGATTGACAGAGGAGCACCTAGCCCACTGTGAGCAGTGCCAGAATGGGACAGGTGGTTCTAGGTTATATAAGAAAGCCAGGCGAGCAGAAGCAGAGAACAAGCCATTAAACGACACTCCTCCATAGTCTCTGCTTCCCTTCCTGCCTCCAGGCTCCTGCCTTGAGTTCCTGGCTGACTTCTCTCAATGATGTAAGCCATGTCAATCCTTTCCTCCCCAAGCTGGTTTTAGTATTTTATCAGAGCAACAAAGAGCGCACTATAAGTGTGCCTCAGGACCCTAATCCCATTACTCAGAAGGTAGAAACAGGAGGATCAGAGCAGATCCACAGTGAGTATGAGGCCAGGCTGAGGCACATGAGCTCCATCTTAATGTAAACTAAAATAAGCTTTGCTTAGGTGTGTTTTGCCACAGCTGTTTCTATAAGACATACCACATGAAGGTCAAAGCATCAGAAAAGTACTTTCTGCCTAAAAGAGTCCCAGAGAAGAGCCAGGAACAATGCTTAAAGGACAGCCCGCAGAGGTATCTTCCATATACAGCTTCCTATGTTCATTCCCTCTGCTTCACTTTTCCCTGCAAACACCTTCATCATATAACATTCTCCACTTAATCTTTCCAGTACTTCATCTGTTTCCTGCCAGGATCTATAGATCAACATGAAGTCCCTCCTGGGTACACACTGGGATTGCTCTGCTACATTGGCTCTTGATTCCCAAGCTATGTTTATGGGTCTAACAATTAGAGCTAGAGTTCTACCTTAATAAAATACTCCCCAATAAACATGAGTGCATTCAGAAATGAATTCTTTCCCAGTGGAGAGCACTTGTTTATAAGTACAGTAAGATTTTTAGGGTTATTGGTAATCTTTGGTGTCAGTTATGATTGTTAATGGCAATTTTCAACTTAGTATTGATACAATTTAATAACATAGTTATATTAACACCAAAGAAAAAAATTTACATATGGACTTTTATGCTGTTAAGTTAGATCAAATTAGTAAAAAAAAAATATGGTCAGATGTAGTAGTAGATGTCTTTAATACCAGCACTCAGAGCCGGGCGGTGGTGGTGCATGCTTTTAATCCCAGCACTCGGAAGGCAGAGACAGGGGAATCTCTGTGAGTTTGAGACCAGCCTGGTCTACAGAGCTAGTTCCAGGACTTGCTCCAAAGCTACAGAGAACCCTGTCTCGAAAAACAAAAAACAAAAAAGAAAACAAAAAACAAACAAACAAACAAAACAGCACTCAGGATACAGAGACAGGTGAAGCTCTGTGAGTTCAAAGCCAACCTGCTCTACAGAGCAACTTCCAGGGCAGCTGGGGCTTCATAGTGAGATCCTGTCTCAAAAACTGAATTGGTCAGGGAAGCAGGTAGGCAATCTTCAGAGCTTCATTTTCTCTCCTTCTCCAAACCGAAACCCCTAGTCTCATGCCCAGTTCTGTAGCAGACAACTGCTGTAACTTCCCCTCACTCTCTGCCCAGTCTCCAGAAGATTATGAAGATCTCTTCTAGCCTTCCTCCACAACATTCCTTTGTCTCAGTCACCAACTACCCCAGGCACTTCCTGGGAACCTACAGACCACCCTGGCCAGGGAAGCAGGTAGGCTATCTTCAGATCTTCACTGTCCCTCCTCTCTTCCAGTCCCATTTCCAGCTTTGTAGCAGACCACAGTCATGGCTTCTCTTCCCTCTCTGTGCCCATCCACAGGAGACTAAGCAGATCCTAGGGGCACAGCCTGCTTTCCTCCTTCCTGTAGACATTCATTATCTGCCTCTTGCCAATAGATAGGTCATTCAGACAAACACTAAACAGGGAAATGCTGAAGCTGATATCATAAACTAAATGAATCTAACAGATATTTACAGAATATTTCACCCAAACAAAAAAAGGAATATACCTTCTTCTCAGCACCTCATGGAAGCTTCTCCAAAATTGACCACATACTTGGACACAAAGCAAGTCTCTACAGATACAAGAAAATTGAAATAATATCCTGCATCATATCTGACCACCACGACTTAAAGCTGGACATCAACAACAGAAACAACAGAAAGCCTACAAACTATGGAAAATGAAAATTCTCTACTGAATGAAAAGTGGGTCAAGATAGAAATAAATAAGAAAATGAAAGACTTTATATAATTTAATGAAAATGAATACACAGCATAACCAAATTTCTGGGACAAAATAGCACTAAGTGCCTACATAAAAAATGGAAAGATCTCTTACTGGTATTATCTGGAAACTTTAGCAACATACTGGTAATATCTGAAAACTCTAGAACAAAAAAGTCATACCCAAAAGGAGTAGATGGCAAGACATAAACTCAGGATTGTCCATCAAAATGGAAAATCTAAAAAAAATGGATAATTGCCAGGTGGTGGTGGTGCACTCCTTCGGTGATCTCAGCATTTGGGAGGCAGAGGCGGGTGGATTTCTGTGAATTCAAGGTCAGCCTGGTCCACAGAGTGAGTTCCAGGACAGCCAGAGCTGTTACAGAAAGAAACCCTGTCTTGAAAAACAAAACAAAAAAGGATAATTTTCTCAATATTCACCATTTAGAAAGGTCAAATCAAGATCAGATGAACAATTTGAATCACGGAAACAACTCTTATATAATAGCCACAAATAATATAAAATATCTTGGAGTAACTCTGACCAAGCAAGTGAAATACTTGTTTGGTAAAAACTTTAAGCCATTGAAAAAAGAAATTGAAGAAGATATCAGAAAATGGAAAGATCTCCCATGTTCGTAGAATGGTAGAATTAATACTGTAAAAAAATGACTGTCCTACAAAAAGAAGTATACAGGTTGAATGCAATCCCCATCAAAATTCCAACATAATTCTTCACAGAACATGAAAGCATAATTCTCAGCTTCATATGTGAACACAAAAAACCCAGTTATGCTCAACACAATCCTGAACTTCCGGAGGTATCACCACCTCTGATTTCAAGCTGCACTACAGAAGTATAGTAAGAAAAACTCATGGTATAGCCACAGACATGCTGGTAAGTGGAATCAAGTTGAAGACCCAGATATAAGTGTACACACTTTTTTCATGGACATCTGAATTTTGATAAAGAAGCCAGAATATACACAGAAAAAAAGGCAGCATTTTCAATAAATGGTTTTGGTCTAACTGGATGTCTGCAAGGAGAAGAATGCAAATAGATCCATACTTATCACCCTGCACAAAACTCTACTCCAAATGTATCAAAGGCCTCAATATAAAACCAGATACACTGAGTCTGATAGACAAGAAAGTAGGGAATAGTCTTGTACTTATTGGCACAGGAGAAGACTTTCTGGACAGAATACCATTAGCATAGGCACTAGAACAACAATTAATAAACGGGACCTCACGAAATGGAAAGGCTTCTGCACAGCAAAGGATACCATCATTCAGAGAAAGCAGCAAGATACAGAAAAGATTTTTTTCAACTACACATTAGTAGTGAGACCTCATATCCAAAATATATGAAGAAATAAAGAAAACTAGATATCACAAAACCAAATAACTCAATTAAAAATGGGGTAGAGATCTAAACAGTGAATTCATAACAAAGGAATCTCAAATGGCTGAGAAACAAAGAAATGTTCAACATCCTTATCCATCAGAAAAATGCACATCACAGCTACTTTGAGATTCTATCTTAAATCTGTCAGAATGTCTGAGATCAGTAACACAAGTGACAGCTCACTCTGGAAAGAGTGTGGAGCAAGGGGTACACTCCTCCATTGCTGGTGGAAGTACAAACCGGTAAAGACACTATGGAAATCAGTGTGGAGGTTCCTCAAGATGATGAGAATCTATTTACCTCAAGATCCAGCTATACCATTCTTGGGCATATACCCAAAGGACACTTCATCCTACCACAAGGATGCTTGGCCAGCTATGTTCACTCCTGCTCTATTCATAATAGCCAGAAGTTGAAAAAAAAACCTAGATGACTCTCAACAGAAGAATGGATAAAGAAAATGTGGTACATTTACATAATGGAGTATTACTCAGCCTTTAAAAAAAAGTGAAATCATAAAATTTGCAGGCAAATAAATAGAGCAGGAAAAAAATCATCTTCATGGCGTAACCCAATCCCAGAAAGACAAGCACCATATGTATTCACTTACATGTGTAAGTTAGTGATAACCAAGCTACAATCCATTTAACCACAAAGTTTAGGTAGAGTTAGGACTAGGGAAGAGTGATGGATCTCTCCAGAAAGGGGAAACTGAACATATAGCTATGGATGCATCTGGGGATACTGAAATAGTAGCATCAAACAGAGGGGGGGGGGGGGGAGAAGAGGGTGACTAAAAAGCAAATACAGTGAGGGACAGTTAAAACTAAGGGCAATTTGAGGGGTTGTACAAAAATCTAATGCAGTAGAAGTTTCTTATATACATATGTGAAGGTGATCTAAATAAAATTGCCAAATGACGGGGATGACAGGGCACCAAATGGCCATTTCTCATTACCAAATGAAGCTTCTAGGACTAGGAACAAGTTACATCTAATTGAGTTGTTGGCCAAAGGGCTCTCGTGGAAACCCTCAAATAACCCAGGCAATTGCCAAGGCTGTAACTAACCAGTATCTGATTTTACTTAAAGCTCACTTCAAAGATAGAACCCATACCTGATACAGTTTGGGTGACCAAGAACTTGAGACTAGATAGCCCAGGGACCTAAGGGAAAGCCAAGAATAGCAATAAAGTGACTCCTAATGGCATTCTGCTATCCTCATAGATAAGTATCAGGACTCAGTCATCATCAAAGAAGCTTTCTCCAGAAGCAGATAGGGACGACAGAGACCCACAGCCAGAGATTACTCAGAGAGTGAGAGACCTTGGGACACTCAGGCCTAAGGTCTCCAGCAAATCCCTGCCCTCTGGGCTCAAGTAATCCTGGAGAAGAGGAGGCAGAAAGAGTGTTAGCCAGAGGGGCTAGAGAAGACCAAGCAATCAAGGCCTTCTAGATACAACAGGGCTGGTGGACATGCAAACTCAGAGACCATGGTAGCATGCGCAAGGCCTACACAGGCCTGCAACAGATGTGGTCCTAGAGCTGAGAGGAGAAATGGACACGTGCCCCATCCCTAACCCAGAGACTATCTCCTATAATCCCTTGCAAATGAAAAATTAGTGCTCTCCAGGGGAATCTCACTGAAAACAACCCACTCTTAAAGGTAGGCTCCATGCTCCGCAGTAGATGGCCAACATGAAACAAACTCAACAGCATCTTTGGAGATTTTTTTTCTCATAATCTTAAGTCAGGACATTTTTTTCTACTTTACAGGTTTTTTGCACATATAATGGCTTCTGGTTTGGGTTTTTTATGGGATTCCCATGTGTGTGAATGCTTGTATCTCTGTGTCTATGTGTTTCTTTGGCTATTTTTATTGTTTGGTTGTTTTGACATATCCCAATTTGTTTGTTTTTGATTTATCTTATTGTATCCCGTTTTATTTTATTGTTGTTATTTTTTAGAGGGCTGTTTTCTAAGGAGAGACAGAAAGAGTATGGATTCCATGGGGAGGAAAGAGAGGGGGGACTAGGAGGAGTGGGGGAGAGGAAACCTGAATGAGAATATACTGTATGAAAAAATATATTTTAATAAGAAAAGATTATTTTTGTGTTTGTGTGTGCATGCATTTGCTTTCTCATGCCCACACATGAAGCCCGGAAGCCAAAAGACAGCGTCCCACAGTTTTTTTTTTTTTTTTTTTTTTTTTTTTAACCACGTGAGTCTCGGATTGAACTCAAGTGGTCAGGCTTCATGGCAAGTGCAAGTGCTTCTACTTGATGAGTCATCTCACTGGGCCCAGACTAATTTCTTGGAAATAACTCATGGATAACCATATTGAGAAAGCTGTTGTGTGTCTGTCATGTGTGTGCACGTGTGCTCTAGACTATACAGGTATGTGTGGATGCTAGAGATTGAATCTGGGGGTCTTCCTCTATCTCTGTTTCCTTTTTTTTTTTTTAAGATTGCTCATTGAACTGAATCTCACCATTTTGACAAGCTTGGCTGGCCAGCTAATCCAGGGATTTTGCTATTTCTGCCCTGCCCCACATGTAGGTGTTTGCCATCATGCCTGGTTTTTGTGTAGGTCCTCCTGCTTCCTGACTAAGCTGTCTCTTTAACCTCTAATTTTCTGTTTTTCATAGTGTCTTTCTGTTTGATTTATTTTTTTGCAGACTAGGTATTATGTACCCCAGGTAACTTTGAGCTGTTTATGTATCTGAAGTTGGCCTTGAACTCCTGATCTTCCTGCTTCCACTTGCCAAGTACAGAGATTATAAGTATGTGCGGCCATCTCCAGAGTTCTGTAGGTATCTTCCTTTCCATGAGAGCTTGGCCTCTGCCCTACAGGAGTTCACAGGACAGGGAGAAGAAAGGGCAAAGCAAGCTGAACAGTACAGGGACACTGTGTTCTCTGCTCTGGAACTAAGTCCACACTTGGGTAGCTCTTAGTTTTTCTCACTGTGGTCTCTATCTTGGTTGGCAAGTGGCTGGATTCCTGGCAGCCTTGGGCATGGTTGGAAGCAATTTCTGAGAACAAGTATTTTTTTTTTTAACTTTTCAAGTTTAGGTCCAAGGCTCTGCGCACGTTTAATAACCTCTTCTGTAACTAACTTGCAGATAAAAATCAGAGCCTCAGGATGATGAGGCTCATTTATCTCGTGGTTCTGATCAGCCCCTGAGACTGCACAAACCCTTGAGGGCTGATTTAGATTGAGGCAGACGGAAGAACAGGCTCAAAGCAGGGCTGGCTTTCCGGGTCTGCACTGTGACATGGAGCCCCGGGCTCTATTCTGCTACCCTGGTTTCCATTTCTCCTTGTACAATAGTCACAAGAGCCTGCAGTAAGGATCAATTCAGCTCATGGAAATGCTTAGCAGGATGCCTGTCATACAATGGATGCTGAGCAGGAGGATGGGAAGAAAAGGGTCTGGAAAATCCTGCCCTCTTGCTAAAATTGTTATTCTTTAATTTTAGTTTTGAATATTTGGGGAGGACTGGGAATTCAGCCTAACTACTCACACTTACAGATTCGATAAAAATAAATAAATTTTTACAATTTTTTTTCAAAGAAGAAGCTGTAAAGACATCTTTTTAGCTGGGTCTTCTGGCACAGTCTTGTGATCCCAGCTACTTGGGAGACTGAGACAGGAATATGGCAAGTTCAACAACTCCCTGGGCAATGTAGGAAAACTATTTCAAAGTTAAAAAGAGGGCTGAGAAACAGGATGTAATATGCATACCTGTGACCCCAGTGTTGGGAAGGAAGGTGGAGACAGGAGGATTCCTGGGGCTTCCTGGTTAGTCTAGCCAGAGAGTTTCAGGTTCAAAGAAATCCTGTCTCAAAAAATAAGGTGAAGTGATTGAGTAGGGCATTAAATGGCAGCAGCTGGCCTCCACATGCTGTGCACAGTAGCCAACTCTATACACATACTTAGGGAATTCAAGGTTATCCTCAGCTACATGGCAAGTGTGAGGCCACTCTGTGTTATATATGATCACACACACACACACACACACACACACACACACACACACACCACACCACACCTTTGTCTCAAAACTAGTAACAACAATAAAAATCTAACCAAAAACTCTCAAACAAATGAACAAACAGATAAAAGGATAACAGATAAAAAGGCTATCTCGGGATACAGCTTCATAGTAAAGTGTTTGCCTAATATAAATGAAGCTCTAGGTTCGATCCCCAATCGCCAAAAAACAAAAACAAATTAAATAAAACCAAGTAACTCAAAACACATCCTATTTGAGACAGTACAACCATATGTACACAGGAGAATATACAAGTACCTATCCCTTGTCACTTATGAAGTGCCTCCCACATAGGTTCTTCTGATCCTCATGACACTGAGTTTGAAAGGGCCTATAAATGAGCTTCTTTACAGAAATCTCAAAAGTGAGGCTCAAGAGCACAGTCCCAAAGACCTAACTTCCTCCCACTGCCCAAAGGCTCCATCACCTGGCAATAGTGTCACCAGACGGGGATCAAGTAAGTGTTTAGCCTGTTATAATACTTAACGTAGTTGCAGGAGATATTGTCTTTGCCACTTAAATGTACACCACATTCTAAGTCCCTTCCTATTGTTCTTGTTAATCCTCATTTAGACCAAGTAGAGAGCTACATATTGTGTGTGTGTGTCTGTCTATCTGTCTCTGTGTGTAGCCAGAGGTGTCAGGTGTCTTTGTCAAGCACTCTCTACCTGCTTAAGATCACCTATTCAGATACATTGACAGTCTATCAAGCTTCAGAGATGTTCCCGTCTCTGTCTCCTTAGCACTAAGATTACAGGTGTGTGATGATTCACATGGCTTTTTGCTTGGGGGATCTGAATCAGGTTCCCATGCCCACACAGTAAGCCCTTTACTAATTGGGCCATCTTCCTACCCCTAGAGAGCTACTTATTTTACGGCCAAGGCAATGGCTTTATTTTAATGTTTCTGGAAAACCACAGGACATAAAGAAGACTGAGGGAAACAGATTCTCTGGCCAACTTTCAACTATGGATTGGGTACCTCATGGGTGAGATGCTAGCTGTCTAAGTGGGGTGATGTAAGCACCCACAAGTGAATTTTGCATCTCTTAAAGGGAGTCATCCACTGAACATTTTGTGCTTGTAGACACAGTGGCTCCTGCTTGGTTTGATTCATTTAGAAGAGATGGGTCATGGGTAAAGGTAAAGTGACGCCAGGTCAGGCCATTTGGGAAATTGCTGTGATGTTATACAAAGGTTCTAAATTTAAAATGTTTTTCAGCAACTGTACTTTCAGTGCAGCAGCTTAGAACATATAATAACCTGGCTTAGGTTAATAAGTCATCTTAAGAGTGTCCTTTTGAGGATAAGCCATAAATTCACAGTCACTAAAGCACTTGGTGGGGAGTGTTGGGGAAAACAAACAGTGAAATTAGGTACAAAATTCAAGAACATATTTGGAATATCCAACAGCATATTTTTAGACACATGCTAAAAATATCAGCACTGTGGAAAAAATTCATAGTCACTCAATATTTATCTAGGAAACTTTATCTATTTAATTGTTTACTGTGTGTGTAGGAGACAGAGAGGAGCATGCACATGTCTGTGTGGGTGAGCACACCTGTGTAAGATGCTGGCAATCTTTCTCTACCACTTTAGCCTTATCACTGCAAGATAGGGTCTCTCCCTGAAATGAAAGTTGGCCGTATTAGCTAGGTGAGTTTTTGGAATCTACCTGTCTCTGTCTCCTCAGTGCTGGGGTTTCAAACACATTCAGCATTGCCTAGCTTTTCACTAGGGTGCTGGGTATTTGAACTCGTGTCCTCATGTTTGCGAAATAAGTAAGTGCTCTTACCCACCAACCCATCTCCCTAAGCCCTACCAGCTTTGTTAAAGGAGGTTCAAGGACCAGAGCCTATTAATTATTAGTGCTACACTTTCAACAGACTTTTGAAAACACTTGACCTGAAATAGTTAATTGAAAAAAGTATATTCAACCCCAAAGCCATATTCCTGCATTAATTTATTCCTGACAATTAATTCAAAAGTAATTACAGCATCATTCAGGGCTCATGTATACATTGGCAACTTCCAGGTTTTTCCTTCAACAAACACACATATTCCTGGTCCCACTGTCTCTCTACACACCTGAGCACTTATGTCAAATGTCTCTGTTTCCAAGTTCGGAATATTTATTTATCCTGTTGTGCTATTTTTATCTTTAGTAAGTTAAAAAAAAAAGCTATACTCTATGATGCAGAAAACCTTTTTCTTGTTTTAACAGCCTCTCTGCCTGGACTCAGTTGTTACATAAAGTTTCTAATGTTTCAGAGCCCTGGAAGTACCTAGGATTTCTTTTTAATTTTTTTCTATAAAAACATTTGTGTGTGTATGTGTGTACGTGTGCATGTGCCTGAGTGTATGCTTGTGTAACACATGTGTGCAGGTGCCATTTGAGATCAGAAGAGGGTATCAGGGAACTTGAGTGACAGATAGCTGTGAGTCTCTGTTAAGATACTGGAAACTGAATTAGGTCCTCTGCAATAGCACCAAGTGTGCTTAACCTCTGAGCCATCTCTCTAGTTCCCAGTAGTGCACAGGGTTTTTAGAGGCAAAATGTATCCACCCATTCTGGTATGGCCTGCAGGATACACTCATTCAGGGAATGTAAAGAGAAGCAAATACAAGCATGAAAATGATGTAAAACAAAAACAAAAACAAAAACAAAAATACATGGTTAGGGCGTGGGGAGATGGCTCAGTGGGTATGGGCGCATACTCTGAAGTCATGAGGTCCTGAGTTCAAATACTCAGAATCCAAGTGAAATCAAAAAGGCAGTCATGCTCATGCTTGTAAATCCAGTGTTGGCAGCCTGAGACAGGCAGATCCTGAGAGTTTGCTGGCCAGCCAACTTGGTCAAATGGACCGCTTCCAGTTCCGAGAGAAACCATATCTCAAGGCAAAGAGGCAGATATTTTTCCTGCTCTGGTCTCTGGGAGTGCATGCACTGCACAGCCACATGTGCCCCCACAACCATGCACATGCACATAGACACAGCCTCCCACGTAAGAACCAGAAGGGAAGGGATAATTTAACACAGGGTCTGAAAAACAAAAGGTGAAATAAATTTAAATGTATGTCAGTCTGAGGAAAAAACAGGAAGTGGCCCGGGATTAGTTATGTGGTTGGAGGACAGCACGTTAAAGTGCAAGAAGCCCTGGATTGGCTCCGTAGCACCTCATAAACTAGGCGTGGTGGTGCACGGTTATAAAACCAGCACTAGGGAGGTGGAGGTTGGAAGATTAGGATTTCAAGGTCATACTTGGTTATGTGGGTGTTTGAGGCCAAGCCTGTGTTACAGGAGACTCTGTCTAAACAAACAAAAATCCAGTATGAACTATTTACATGTATGCAAAAAATTATCAGAGCTCTGGACCCTGAAAACAATATATTTTACCAGGTCTCTGAAGTGTTGCCAGCATTCCAAAGATTAGCAAGCCCTGGTGGATCGCAGGCTAGAGCTTGCCAGCTTCTGTCAAAACCATCATGTCATGCAAATTAACAGAGTCTAAATTCATCATCTTTTGTTAATTAGGAACTTGCTGGCTCCTAGCAAGGAACATACAAAAGGTTGGAAATTCACATGCTCGTTATCAATCCTGGAAGCAAGAAAGCTGAGTCAGGCAGGCAGGAAGAAGAAAAAACAACAGCAGCAGCAACAACAATAACAATAGCCCTAAAATATAAACCAAAGCCCAAAAATGTGTTCATGGCAGAAAACAAGGATGGGTGAAAGTGAAGTTGCACTATTAAGTGGGAGTTTCACATTCAACTTGGTATTGGCAGGGGTAGCTATGGGGGTGGGGGGGTACGGGGTAGGAGTGAGGTTGGGTGTGTCTTCAGCTTCTTTAGGGATTGCTCTTTCAGGCTTTCCTTGCTGGTCAGACTATAAACTGGAGGACTCAAGAGAATTCAGAACTTGAGAGGGCTGGGGAAGGAGCTCTCTCACTAAAGCATTTGCTATGCAAATGTAAGACCTTGAGTTGAGATCCTCAGTACTTGCTTAGAAAACTGAGTATGGCAGTACACACCTGTGACTCCAGAACTGTGGCAGGAAAAGAGGTCCAGACAGGTAGATCCCAGGAGCTTGCTGTCTAGCAGATCTAGTATTCCTGAATCAGTGAGTGCCAGCTTCAGAGAGATTCTGATTCAAGAAACCAAGGTAGAGAGCATCTGAAAAGGATGACTGATATCTACTTCTGGCTTCTGTGTGCACCCACACACACAGCAAATCACACACATTTATAATTAATCATGAAAATATTTAAAGGCTTATTATATACATTTATCAAAACAGAACTCAGAACTTGAAAAGGCAACTACACTTTCTAAGATTCTTATTTAAGTCCACTATGCAAAACTTCTACCCGGGCCCATTGACTTTCTTTAACATTTCTGTAATTAAATTTGATTTATTTATGCAGCAAAAAGCCACAGCGTACCCACAGAGCTCAGAAGACACCCTTTCTGCTTCTAGCGTATGGTTTCTAAGGACTATCAGGCATGGCAGCAAGTGCTGTTACCTACTGAGTCAGCTCACCATCCCGCAGAGATAAGGGTGCCTCCTCCACAGAGGCCGGGAACAGGACTTTGGAGCCAACTGCTTGTGCTTGGTCACCACATTCTGCTCTGGAAACTGTGCTGTCAGCAGTGGTGTTACGAGGATTTAAATGTGGTAATATTTGTAGAAGGGCTTTAGATTAGTGTCAGGCTCCTGGTAAGGGATGTTTGACAAACACAGATCTAGTTAATGGTGGACATCTGCTCGGAGCAATGCATCACGCGGGTGGCTGGAAGGAAGCCACCAGGTGATACAACTGATGGGGTTACTGTGGGGCGTCTGTGCAGTATGTGGCGATGGCTGAGTGCACAGGTGATAATGAGTCCTAGGGAGCAATCTCCTGTCTCCTGATCAAACAGACTTGGATTAGATTTCTGTTTAATTTTAGTTGCCTTTTGGGGGGTCTGATCTGTCCCAGCATTCTGGACAGACAAAGAAGCATGATAGAAGAGAGAGGGCTCTCCAAGTGACTAGTATGCTTGATGTCCCAACATGCAAAGAGGGGAAGTCTGCCCAAGTCCTATTTTAGCAAGGGCTAGCACTCACTTGGCCAGACCCACAGGCTTCTTTTTGCATGTTAGCTCAATAAGGTCCAAAGGGTTACCAGGCCCAGGAATTTCTGGTTGCTTAAGAGGAAGTGTTGAAAACTTGCCCCCCCCCCCCCCGCTTCCCCAGGAGTCAAAGAACACATTGCATACCTTGTTCTCTGTAGGGACCTAAGGAATGTAGGGATATTAAGGGGACCCAGTGTGGTGGCTCCCTACTGGGAAAGTTGCCAGCTCCTTATCCTTATAGAATTCTTCACTCAACACTGAAAGCTTGAATTCAGTTACACTTACAATGTCCAGAATGCCCATGGAATGGAGAAGCCTAGGACAAAGCTTTAAAGTAGGACTCTAGCAAGGACAACATGGGATGTATGGTTCTCAAAGGATCCTGGATTACCATGGAGCCAGAGCTGAGACAACAGTACAAAAACACTCTTAAGGGCCATTGTGGGGCTTCCCAGAATACAAGAGACAAAAAGAAGGGTCTAAAATTGTACCCTGCCCATGTCAAGTGGCTGTGAACTGTGAAACATGTGGAAAGTCCCCATGAGATGTGTCGTGAGAACCTGGAGAGATGACTCAATAGGCGCGAGCTCTTTCTGAAGCACTGGAGCCTGAGGATCTGAGTTTGAATCCCTGGCACCCATGTTAAACAAAACAAAAATGGGTATGCCTGTCTGCACCTCTAACCTAGGGAGAAGAGACAGGAAGATCCTAGTGGCTTTCTAGACACCAGCCTTGCTCCAGATCCAGTGAGAGACCCTGTCTCAAGAAAATAGGTAGAGTGTGTTAGAGCAGGGGACCTAATGGCTTACTCTGGCCCCTGTAAGGTTATATACCCTCATAGAAAAGCCAGGTGTGGTAGCTCATGCACATAATTCTAGTACTCAGAGGTTCCTGGGGTCTGGTCCACAGGTTAGCCAGCCTACCCTAGTCAGTTTGCTACAGATTCAGTGAGAAACCCTATCTCAAATAGCCTAAAATAAGGTAGAAGTGACACACAATGGAATACTTGGTATCAGAACACACATGCATTCCACACACACCCAAATGTACAACCCCCACCGCCAGTACACTTATGTGTATGCATAAGGATGAACTTTTTAAAAACATGGCACTAGCCAGGCATTGGAGGCACATGCCTTTAATCCCAGCACTTGGGAGGCAGAGGCAGGTGGATCTCTGTAACATTAAGGGCTGGCTTGTTGGGGTTTCTGTCCCACCCAGTACTCCACAGCCGGCAAGCCCCAAAGAAATCACACACAGAGTCTGTATTAGATAGAAACTGATTGGCTCGGGCGGAGTGCCCGAGTCGGCCTTTTCCGCCCGCCCCCCCCCCCCCCCCCAGCGCTGCTCCGGCTGCACCGCGCTCGCTCCGCGCTGTCAGGCTAGCGCCGCCATCCCCAGACGCCACCATGATCATCTACAGGGACATCATCAGCCATGACGAGCTGTTCTACAACATCTACAAGATCCGGGAGATCGCAGACGGGCTGTGCCTGGAGGTGGAGGGCAAGATGGTCAGTAGAACAGAGGGTAACATTGATGACTCGCTCATTGGTGGGAATGCTTCCGCTGAAGGCCCAGAGGGCGAAGGTACCGAAAGCACAGTAGTCACTGGTGTTGACATTGTCATGAACCACCACTTACAAGAAACCAGCTTCACAAAAGAGGCCTACAAAAAGTACATCAAAGATTACATGAAATCACTCAAAGGCAAACTTGAAGAACAGAAACCAGAAAGAGTAAAGCCTTTTATGACTGGGGCTGCAGAGCAAATTAAGCACATCCTTGCTAATTTCAATAACTACCAGTTTTTTATTGGTGAGAACATGAATCCAGATGGCATGGTTGCTCTCCTGGACTACCGTGAAGATGGCGTGACTCCATACATGATTTTCTTCAAGGATGGCCTAGAGATGGAGAAACGTTAACAAATTGGATCTATCACCTGTCACCATAACCGGCTGCTGCTTCCCATCCATACAACACCAGGACTTAGGACAAATGGGACGGATGTCACCTTGAGATCTTATTTTGACCATGATTTATCTGGAGTGGAGACATTGGTTTTTTCTTTTTTCCTTTTTTTTTTTCTTTAAAGAAAAAACATGTCGTGTAGGTTGTCTAAAAATAAAGTGCATTTAAATTCACTTCAAAAAAAAAAGAAACTGATTGGCTCATTAGCTCAGGCTACTTATTAGCTCTTATCACTTATATTAACCCATTATTCTGATCTGTGTTAGCCATGTGGCTCAGTACCTTTCACAGTAGGGCAGATCACAAGTTGCTTCTTTGAAGTCTGGGCTGGACTGAGAGGAATGGGCTTCCTCCTTTCCAGCATTCTCCTGTTCTCATCGCCCTGCCTCTACTTCCTGACTGGTTGACCCGCCTATACTTCCTGCCTGGCCAGTCAGCTTTCTATTAAAATACATGATTGACAGAATACAGATAATTCTCCTGCACCACTTCCCTCTTTTTTTTTAAACAAAGGAAAATACCCATAGTCCATTTTTTGGGAATGTGGGTGTAGTATTCCAGGCTACTTCCTGCTGGTTGGAGCGCTGATAATCTTAAGGACCTAAAGAAAATTTAGAGTTATTATCAAGTCCTGACTGGAGTATCCTGTGAGGCTTGATCATCTCAGGCAGCAGTCTTGAATCTGTTCTGGATGTAGAACTCTGACATCTGGGCCATCTGTTCCTACCGGAGATTTCTCAGGTGGTCTTCCTTGATCAAACCTGATTTTTATTAATTCAGAATGAATCCACAGCTTCTCATTTCCTGTGGAAACAAAAGCAAAATCTCTTCTCCAAAGTAACATACCTTTTGACTTCAGTATTAAAGACAAGGTATTTTCAAAATACCAATCTTGGATTAATTCAGCAGCATTCATAAGCAAATATCTTTTAGCAGCTGTTGCTCCTTCCTCAGAATTCAAACAAAACAAAGAGAGCATAATAGCATACAGTATCAAGATTCTCTGTGTATTTTCCATCTTTGTGCAGCATTATTTTAACCTCTATTTTGTTTATTTTTACTTTTATTTTTTGAGGCAGGTTCTCTGTATATCTTTGTCCTGGAATAACTCTGTAGACCAGGCTGTTCTTGAACTCACAGAGATCTACTTGCCTCTGCCTCCCCAGGGCTGGGATTAAAGATGTGTGCTACAGCACCTGGAACTCACAGAGATCTGTCTGTCTCTGCCTCCCAGGCATTGGGATTAAAGGTGTGTACCACCACAGCCAACTACTCTCTTTCTTTTTTACTTTTAAGAACTTTAACCTTTAGCCTGCATATATATTTTAACACACTGTAAACCATTTAGAGGTTTTCTTCATCTTTGAATCTCTCTTTACTGTATATCTCTCTTTTTCTGATCACATGAGTCTTTATGGAGAGAATTAAAGCCGTGGCTTTGATGGCTAGATCCAGCCCATTCCCTTAGCTTTCCAGCCTCATGGAGGAGGTACCGGCTGTAGCCATTTTTATTGCCACAACTCTGGCGTTTCAAGGTCCCTGCCAGCAAGCGAGCTGCAGCATTCTGCTCACAGACCACACTCAGTTGGACTGCCTGCCTCAGAGAGTCAGAGTTTGCCCTGGCAGGATGCCCCAGAAAGCTGGCATTTTAAAACAGTGCAGCTATTTTCCTGCTACAGCTGAAAACCGAAAAGCATGCGTTCAGCTTTTCGTCAAAACCTGTTAAGTGTTTCATGGCAGAACCTCTTAAAAGAGCTGCAGGGTTTTGCAGCTAAAGCTGAGTCAGGAAGCCTCTCTTAGATGAGAGTGCTTGCTTGCCGCTAGCAAGCAGAGCAGACCCAAGAAATTGCTGCTACCAAGAAACATGCTTTACTCTATTCTCTCCCAAGCTTTCTCAGGCTTTCTGTGGATGCAGTTATCCACATTGGGCACCATCCTGTAACATTAATTAGCAGTGTGTGTAAACTAGCCAGAGAGCCGGGCAGCGGGAAGCAGCTCACTGCTCCTTTCACTACAAATTGGCGCTCCAATGTGATGGATTAAATCCAAT